TAAGTCGGCTTATAATGAAATCAAATTACGGTAAAAGTTATGATTGGGAGCTTAGTTGAGAAGAATTGCAGTTTTATTAAAATTATTGTAGGTTTTTATAGATTTTTGGACAAACATATACAGGGTGAGTCATGAGGAACTTTACATACTTCTACCATATGTAGAGTCTCTCAGGGAGCATATCATGTGGCCACTAAAAAATGTCAACTCCTCTTCTTTATTAATTAACAGGGTGATTTGTGTAATTGACCATTTATTTCATTTTACTGTAGTGTTTATACGGCTCATTTGACTTTTTTAATTTTTGCATGATACAGTATACTACTATCAAGCATTCGACTGGTATTAGCTAAACTAAAAAAATTCCAGGACTGGCTTTGGAAAAATTAATTTAGGAATTCGTATTAAATATTACACCCTGTATATATATATTTTTATAAATGCAATAAGTGATTTTCAAACTACATAAATAGCCAATGAAAACGACATATGCGACAATGTTGTCGCACTTTTATTAAATTTTTAGTGAACGATCAAATCTTACCAAAAATAGAACAACCGTAATGAAGTATCAAATTATAAGGTATTAATTTAAACAAATGTTATAAATTTTAAACATTTTAATTGAAATGATAAACTGAGTCACTGCACAACAAAAAACAAAAAAAAGTAACTACTAACAATAACGAAGAACAATTTAAAAAAAAAAAACTAAAAATGTGTACATAGTTATGATAAACCCATAAATTAGAACTGGAAAAAGATACAATAATGGTAACAAAATAAAAATAATTCAAAATAGATTTTCGAAATGGAACCCTGCAGCCTGTACACATTTTTGTTGCCGAATTGTTAATTGACGTATTGAATTACGGATACTCTGGGGATCGTTTCTAATAGTATTACAACAATGTATAATTCTTTCAATTAATTGTTGTCGGTTATTAATATTCACTGCGTAAACTAACTGCGACACCAATCCACACGTTAACCGAAAACCTTAACTGAGAACGACGTTCTCGAATAGCATGGGGATTTTCTTTTGCCCACACATGTGAATTTCGTGAATTATTTATCCCGTCTCTGGTGAATTGGGCTTCATCTGTAAATAGTGTCCTGTATAGCGTTGGTCGATTATTGTTAATCCATCTATAAAATTCCAACCTATCGATCTCAGTTCCAGCATGTAGTCACTGAACCATTTGAATGTGATATGGGTATAGATTATTTTTTTGTAAGACTCCACTTACTTTTGATTGAGTAACATTAAGTTCTCGACTTACTTGTCTAGTGCTTATTGTAGGGTTCATAGTAACGGCGTCCATAATGTCATCTTCATGCGCTTCATCTACATGTCGTTCTGTTGTTCCACTAGGAAAAGTGCCATTTTCTCGCAAATAATTAAAAAGTGACCCAAATGTTGGATGACTGGGAGTTCGACGATTAGGAAATCTCCTGCGATATTCTCTACTAGCAGCCCTACCATTCCCATTACAGAATCCATAAACAAATATTATGTCTGCATATTCTGTGGTCGAAAACTGATGTGGCATTTTGAACGAAAGTAACAAAAGCTCTACCAAAACTAACACAATGTACTTAACGTAGATATGACAGAAGAACTATGTATTCTTGTACACATAAATAACAATTGATAATAACAATAATGACAATGAGTATAAAATATCAAGAAACGTCAAACGGTCAACGCCAACCTTCATTTTAAACTTATTTAGATTTATTTTTATTTAGTACAGTTGATGCAATGTATTATTATTTGACATAAAATTTTAATCATTTACAATCAACAAAAACTAACACAAACAAGGGGTTTGACTTTTTAATCAATTTAATTTATTATTTATCGAAAATAATGCCCCAATACGATCTATGAGTAAGAATTTAAAATTGAAAAACAATTGATTCTATCGTAGAGATAATACAAAGTGACAGTAAAGATGTTAATTTTCTACGTATTAGATTATGTTGTAGGAACTCATTTTAATTAAAATATTTGAAATTTATAAAATTTGTTTAAATTAATACCTTATAATTTGATACTTCATTATGGTTGTTCTATTTTTGGTAAGATTAGATCGTTCACTAAAAATTTAATAAAAGTGCGACAACATTGTCGCATATGTCGTTTTCATTGGCTATTTATGTAGTTTGAAAATCACTTATTGCATTTTTAAAAAAATGTATACAGGGTGTAATATTTAATACGAATCCCTAAATTAATTTTTCCAAAGCCAGTCCTGGAATTTTTTAGTTTAGCTAATACCAGTCGAATGCTTGATAGTAGTGTACTGTATCATGCAAAAATTAAAAAAATCAAATAAGTCGTATAAACACTACAATAAAATGAAATAAATGGTCAATTACACAAATCACCCTGTTAATTAATAAAGAAGAGGAGTTGACATTTTTTTAGTGGCCACATGATATGCTCCCTGAGGGACTCTACATATGGTAGAAGTATGTAAAGTTCCTCATGACTCACCCTGTATAGACGTTTGAATTTATTATGATTACCTGCAGCTCTTACAGTTGTGACTATCGCATTTTTACAGATAATATTCTAAAAGTTAAAGCTTTAAGGTATTTGTTCAGAAACAACATAATTATAACATATGGAAACTAAAAGAACGTATCTAAAAAGTCTAAAATCATTGAAAGAATCGGTGGAGTATCCAGACGAAATCACTAAGAATCTGTTAGTGATTTTCTGAAGCATCTTCCTTCGAAAGCAATTGTATATATGACAAACATAACAAACGCAATACTAAGATACAGGCTCAAACCGAGGGAAGGAATCCCATGTAATCATGATACTAAAGCCAGAAAAAAACCACATATTTCCGCAAAATTACACGCCGATTAGCTTACTTTCAGCAGTCAGTAAAATAGTAGACCGAGTCATCTAAACCAGACTCCAATCAGAGACAGCAGGCTAGGGTTAATCCCAGAAGCATAATTCGGATTCAGAGCTCCACATTTCAGAGAACTACAAATACTCAGACTTGTAGAATACATAGCCGCTGGATTCAATCACAAGCAATATACAGGAGCACCCTTCCTGGATGTAAGCAAAGCCTTCGAGAGAGTGTGGCATGAAGGACTGACATACAAAATGAGAGATTATGGATACAGCGAGACCATGACGAAACTCACCTATCATACAGTATATGCACAGCAGACATTCCAAGAACACCCGGAACAGTAATCAGCCTTTATGCAAAATATAGGAACCTGGATATGGGTGTAAGAAATCTACAGACGGTACTGGCTACGATAAAAGAATGGAGTATTCAATGGAAAATAGCAATAAATCCAGCGGTTATCTTCAAAAATAGAAGAAATAACACTGAAAACCCATCGAATGGCAAAACGAAGCTAAATACATAGGAGTCACAATGGTCCAAGGCCAAACATTCACACATGTTAACGTGACAGTCCAGAAAACAGCAACGGCTAGAGCCGCCATAAAAAGACTTACAGAAAGAAGTTAGAAGACCACCCAAACCGGATCGCGCGAGAGATATGAAGATATTATGTATACCATAGATAGAAACATAGAAGATACAAACAGCAAACATTAGCAAATATAAAAAAAGGTCTAGATACTCGTAGCTCAATTCAAAGAAGAAAACACGCTCACCTTTGGCATAGCAGTGTATTTAATAATGTTGATTTTATATGTTTCAGACAGCCCCCAAAAAATATACAAAAAAAACTTCTTCGGCCACCAAAAAAATTAACAAAACACTACCAAAAGGCGCAAGCGACAAAAAATACTAACAAATCCCAAAATTGGGAAAGAGGGGCCCACATCCTCGAACGCCGAGTCACCGAACTCGGCGTAGCTGTGATTCCTGAATAAACGAGTTAACCCTCCCCGCTTTAATGAATTGTATCACCCTAATAGCATACTTAAGGGGTGTGTAAGTTGTTAAGGATATTATTGCATTATGTTATTTTTACATATGTTTTAATAATACATTTTATGTTTATTTCGTACGCCTATGGTGAGTTAGTGCGCATATTGTAAGTGTCTGGCCCACCGCGCAGAATCAAGAAGGGATATATGGCGGAAGGAGCAAGAGGTCAGCTTGTTACCTTCACTCTGTCAATAAATGTTATTAAGAATAAATATTACAAGTTCACGAAATATTAGTTTTTAATAATAATACAGCTAAAGTGTTTACAGTCCACTTTTATCGGCACACACATTACCATAAGTTTTTCAGAATGGTAACTATTGCTTGCTGGGTCTGTGGAATAACAGTGGCTGGTAGAAAAATCTTAAATTTAAGATTTGCTGATGACACTACTCTTATAGCAGCAAATGAACAAGAAATGCTAGGTCTTCTACGAAGAATTGAATGGAAAAGCAATAAGTTGGTCTTAAAATTAATAAAATCAAGACGAAAATAATGGTGGTAGGCAGATTCAACATTATTTCGGATTTAGTGTAACTAACGATGGCAAATGCTAAGCAGAAGTTCAGAGACGCTTGGGTATGGCAAAAAGTGCGATGTGGGCAAAGCCACTTGGTCGGACATGGACGACGAGTGCGGTGATGAGAAGATAGACCAAATAGATCGTTGTGATACGCGTGTGTGTGCGCGCGCTACTTGTTGCAGCGTCGCGCGTTTTTATATACGGTTTTAAACCCGCTCGCGTGACATGTCTTCGCGTATGTATCGCGTATTTAATCGTCGATAACCTAGATTTGTTTATCTTCTAAATTTTTTGTTCGTTACTTGCTGTTTTTGTCCATTTATGTCCATTTTAAACTGCATTTATTTATGGACGATATAATACAACCAGTACGTAAAGGTCATGGCTACAGAATGGGGAACAAAGAAATACAAATTATATGTTATGCAGATGACGCCGCATTAATCGCCGAGACAGACGAGTTTCAAAGATTAACACAAATCTTCAATACACCAGCCAAGAAATACAATGATAATATCAGCAAAAAAACCAAACGTATGACAACATCTAAATACCCACTACGGTGTAAAATCCAAATTGGTGGGAAAATAATAAAGCAAAAAGCAAGGTTTAGATATCTGGGAATAGATATAACTAGTTACGGAGATGTTGAAGAAGAAGTACGACAACAAAGCTTAAAAGCAAATAAAGCGGCGGAATCTCTTAATGACACAATCTGGAAGAACAAACACCAAAGGCAAGACACAAAATCAAGAATCTATAAAGCAGCAATTAGACCAATATTAACATACACGGAGAAGTCAAGACCCGACACATCTAAAACAAGACGACTACAACTACTAGAAACAACAGAGATGAAAATACTCCGACGAATATAAGGGAGAAGTCTGTTGGATAGGGAGAGAAGCGAAAACATAAGAAGAGCATGCAATATAGAAGACATAAATGGATGGGTGACAAAACGAAAACAGGAGTGGAACGAACACATCAGTAGAATGGCAGAGGATAGTACAATGATGTTATTAGTCCTAATTTATTGTTCTTATTTTAATTCTAAAGGTTCAATATTTATAACACTCACGAATTTATCAAAGTCTTTATTACTGCTAATTTATTTTACACTTAATAATAACAAATAATTTATTTACATTCGATACAATTTACCGCGAGACCGGACTTCTTGTTGACTGGATTCCCCACAATAAAAATCCTGTTTTTATATGAAATGCCGTCGCATAGGATCTTTCGTGAAGTAGACGGAAGTTGACCTGAATAGTCTCGAACTGGTTTTTTTATAGCGGCCTGTTACCAGAAAGATCGACCGCTTTCATATCGGAGGGGAACACATCGTGTTAGGTTGGTTTTACCTGAAATTTCTACCATCAGGTCAAATCTAGAACATATAATAATTAAACAACATGTTTACAGTTTTTTTTTTGTAAATATGACTAATTTTTACGTAACAATAGAATAGTACGAATAGCACGAGATAAGTAACCAAATGGACGAAGAAGTATTGGCAGACCAAGAAAAAGATGGTGCAATAATTTAAACAATTTAGGAGGCCAACATTAAAAAAGAAACAGGCTTTAAAGCCTACATACAAGAAGGAAGAAGAAGAAGAAGAAGCATTTTTCTTGACAATAAATGGTTTCGGCAATAGATATCCATAAAAATTGAGGACTTTATTTAAGGACTTTACAGAATGACATAACAGTTTATTCATAGTGTCAAACATTTTTAATAGTATATTACATGACGACAGTTGTAAGAAGCTTATTACATGCGAGTAAAAAAGTTGAGGCGCGAGCCGCGTAGCGGCGAGCCCAGTAATTTTACAAGCATGTAATAAGCTTACAACTCAAGTTGTGTACTATACTTTTTCTACGATTATTTTCATTTATAAGAATAAAAATTAAATTACCAATATATTTACACTGACATTAATAATTTTTAATCTGTCAAAATAACGTCTGTTAATTCGTTTCCATAGTAACTCGACCAAGTGACTTACGAGGCTTATGTGATATTACACATTTTTATAAAACTGAAGCGTAATTTTTTTTTATTACGTGCTAGTCATTACGTGTCAGTATCTGTTATGATGCATTTACTTAGCATCCAAATAGTAGGTAATATACAATTTACTAATAAGAGAGTAGAAAATAGTATATTACATAACGAGAGTTGTAAGAAGCTTATTACATGCGAGTAAAAAAGTTGCGCGCGAGCCGCGTAGCGGCGAGCGCAGTAATTTTACAAGCATGTAATAAGCTTACAACTCAAGTTGTGTACTATACTTTTTCTACGATTATTTTCGTTTATAAAAATAAAAATTAAATTACCACTATATTTACACTGACAGATTATTAATTTTTAATCTGTCAAAATAACGTCTGTTAATTCGTTTCCATGGTAACTCGACCAACTGACTTACGAGGCTTATGTGATATTACACATTTTTATAAAACTGAAGCGTAATTTTTTTTTATTACGTGCTAGTCATTACGTGTCAGGATCTGTTATGATGCATTTACTTACCATCCAAATAGTAGGTAATATAGAATTTACTAGTAAGAGAGTAGAAAAAATAAATTATTTGTCTGGTTAAATCAGTCATTTGTAACAATTATAACATCCATGGACTAGACTAAAACATTGTTATCCTTACCTTTTTAACGATTGAGAAAAAGTCAATCGTGTTTTATTAAACTTTTTAATAAAAAAGGAAAACGGTAAATATTTTCTTAGGGCATTAAAAATATCAACAAAAACATTAAATATGTAATTGAATTGGTAAACAAGGTTTGCGAATTAGAGTCTAAATCACTACATCTCGTAAAGCGAATCAAAGGGAGAAGCTTATTAAGCTTCTCCCGTACTAATGTTACGGACTCTAATTTGAGAATTAAATTTAGTTAGTTTCTAATTTTCTAGAACTTTGTCGACAACTTGGTAATTGAATGAGCACTCCTAACAGTCACATTTGCTTCAATAGACGGGATCGTCGATAAAATCTGTAGGGACTCGACTCGAAATTGTTCAAGAGAAGACTATTTCTTATTAATTTTCTAATTTAGCAAAATCCTCGGAATATCGAGGGACAATCTAAGGACGAGTATAAAATTGTATAAAAACAGAATTAAAAAGTTGTAGTATAAAAGTTTTGATTTTGTGACCGCATTTCTACCTGGAAGATGAAACTCCAAATCAAGAGTTTATTTTATGTTCCACATAATCTCTAGTGTCTACTTAAGTGCGTTCTAGCTTTAAATTTATATATATTACAAAGTATGTGTGTGTATGTGAGATATTAAAGTTTTCGCAATCCACCATAGCTCTACACGTGTTACAAAGTATTTACCTCTAATCAGAAGCACTTATGACAGCTTGAACTGAAATAAAATGCTCTTAACTATATGGCCTTTATAGTAACCATAACATTCTGAGTCCGCTAGTAGCGACCTCTACACGAAGCAACGAGAAGTCAAAAGACCTCTTCGCCGGCGAATTGGGTGAACTGCAAATCCAAGCTTACTGGAAGCTATTGAACGATGTTATAAATAACTTTTTATTCCGACAATACATCTGCAGTATAGAAAGGAAGGACCACCTTTTAGAAGTCTTTGTTTATATGTCACAGATTCGTATTTTCCTCGATATTTCTTTAATCAAAGCCGCCTCGGGATTTTTGTGCGTCGAAGAAATAGAAATTTAACCGTATATGTTTTGTTTATACCAAGTGAAGCGAATGATGTTTAAGAATTAGATCACTCTCGCTTAGGTTGCTGTCAGAGGCAGTTGCTTACAGTGTGGGTCCAAATTGTTGGTCAAATTTGTAATGTTTTCTGTGTTTAGTCCCTTTTCATGGAAAATATGCAGTGTATAGTAGCAGTTCATTTAATAGTTACAGTTAAAGTGAGATTTAAAATGTTGCCATTGTGTCCAGCTATACCTATTCCTGTTTTTTACGAATCCAAGTCCAAGGTTTGCTTAGTGCCACTTCAACCTCACCTTTATTTGTCCACAAGGAATCTGTAGTTGGCTGTTGCTCTGAAGAGCAACTTCATGTGGAGTCATACGTCGCCATGTTACCAAATCCACTGGTAACTTTAACATCATAATATTTAATGCCATATAATGTAAACTAAATTTAAACAAACAATTTTTAACAGGTTTTTACCCACATGTTTAGTGGTTCAATACATGTATACCTAGACACTAATGATGGAATATGGATTCCGAAAATGTTTTGTGATATATCCCGATTGGGTTTTTAAATTATATACCTTTTATAAAGGATTTTTAATAAAAATTTTTTTTATTTGTCCCTTGTCGTCTTTTGACACCATTTGAAGCAGTCCTTTTGTTCGTGCGTAGCAGTAAATCCCCAGTATATTGCCAGTTACACCCCCAGAATTTTTGTGTAAAACCCCAGTGCAATCCAGGTAACTTTGTTTTGTTTTGACATTTTTTTAATAATAATAATTTGCTTTCATAATAAAAAGAAATTGTAATAATTAATATTGTACTATCTAATCATATTTGACATTAGTTTGCTTTGTTTTTTTTTTAAGAAGGTTAACCTCCATGCAGTAACAATTTTTTGTAAGTTTTGTAGCATCTCTCACTTGTAAACAGAGTTTGTAATAATAATTTGGTGTATTAGTTAGAGACGTGGTCTATCACAAGAAGATTGGGGTTCAATTCATACCAAGGATTAAAATTTTTATTTTATCAATAAAAAAATAATAGAAAACATAATACATATTATGTAAAAAGTTTTCGAAAAACTCGAAAAATTCATTATTTACAATTTATTCCAATGTTATAAAACGGAAATACAAAATTCAAATTCAATTCCAGTTTTACTGTCTTCAGTTGTGAATGCAAAATAATCCGGTGAAGACTGTTTATGTCAAATCCATCACTAAATTCTCAGTGTTAATATCAATTTCTCTGTACAGACAATGATTTTCAAAACAATTAACAATTGTAAATACGTTTATTTACAATAATTTTTAATTTTTATAGAATTTTTACTTATTTAAACATTCTTTAAACGTTATTTTAATTTTAAAGAATTTTTACTTTATTTTCGAAAGTACGACGACACTTTTTTCAATAAGATATTTATGTTTAACTTTAAACACATCTAATACTAGTAACGACTGACATAACTTTAGATTAAATAATCACTATTAATTAAATTATTTTTGTGTTTTATAAAACATTTTTGCTTTATTGTGGTCAATCAGTTTTTACTGTATGCGAAATTAAAAAATGGAAATACGTCACACATACGACGTCAAACATAATAATTATGACCGAGGTGATTTAGCTCGAAGCTAACGTCTAAAGGTGTGAGACTATCGATAGTGGTAATGTAATGTAATGTAATGTAAATTATAGGTTTCTATCGATTATTTCCCACCTCTACAAGTTTCATCTCTTTTATTTCACAAGGTAACTGTGTTTTCTATCTCTTACGTTAAAAGCCGGGTGGTAAGGCACTCATCACTGTAGATACCTGTATCAACAAATGTCACGGAAAACTTGTTAGTTTTCTGGCCTAAGTCTACAGTACCGCCTTCTGCACCACATTTTTGTTTTTTGTTACCCAATGGTATTTACAACATCGAAAAAATTATAACTCGTTAAGTCAATTTTCTTGAACTGAACTAGTTTTGAGTTTTATGAGTTTTTCCATTCTTAACCCGCACCCATAATATTTATAATATCTTTATAGTTATATATAGTGTTTCATTTGAAACGTGCAATAATAATCTGATCCGATTCCAAAGAGATTTAACCCACGACCTCGCACGAGGGAAGAGATCGACGAGTGCTTTACAGTTGAAAAATGAAACCCAGCAATAATCGGATCAATCTCGTTAAATCCGCAGCATTTGATATATATCACAAAATTCAAAAGCATAAAGCTTTCATTCGCCAGATATATTTATGTTGAATTTTTATCCTTTCGGCGAGCAGATATATCAATAAATATGTGGCTGTCTCTGAAAAAACTGTGTTGATGGGAGATCTATGTAAATCGAAACTACGTTGTTTAATTTTCGAAATAAATGGAATGCGAAAAAACTTGAAAGTTATAAGAATAATTGAATAAGGTCGATGAGGTCTCGGCAGTTTTTATTAAAATTCTACGTACAATGCGTTGACGTGTGTCTGGAACGAATGTGAAATTTTCATCTTTGTTATCTGAAATGTGTCTATCGGAATTTTTAATCGCGAATATATCATAGTTATCTTTGATTGACAGTTGGCTACGTTTGTATCGGTTTAAATTGAATTCTGTCAGTTTTATTGTTTAAAGGCACCGGAAAGAAAGAATAATAAAATGATGTAGGTAGCAAAAAGTTTAACAATTACAGAGGCCAACAAAATAAAACAAAATCGGTACAAAACTTTTTTGTAGAAACTCTATGTTATTGGAGTTGATAAGTTGAAAAATTTTAATAAAAATGAAAAATATGCAAATATCAACTTTAACTGATATCGATGAGTTTGTAAGTACTTCATAATATTTTCCTACGTTAATTCTGCGTTGGTGTGGTGGGGTGTGATAAGCAAAAAATGGAATTTCTCTCAAAAACTAGAGCTGTTACTAGAACATCA